AACTAGTTTATTCGTGCTCGATCGACCACGAATATCCAGTAAGAGCATGCGCAGCACGCTACACAGAAGAAAAAAGGAAACAGAAAAACAGATAGAAAAGACACCCACCAAGACACATTCCACGATAGTCATTATCAAAACAGCAACCCGGATAAAAACTGCACTTCACTTTCAAACAAAGAAACCGAGGTATCGCTAACACAGTCACGTCCCTTTTTTATATAAAAAGCTTCCGTCAATTCTCTGGCTGTGCTATCTTTGCTTCTACCCAAGATCCTGATCTCTCGAAATCGTGCCTCACACCCACAGTCGGCACAGTGAGTTGGCAAGTGTGCATTGCCTTTATTCCTGATCGACAATTCATGTTCCCGTGCGTGGTCATTAACACAGCGTCCAGTTTGACCAATATATACTTTCCCACACGAGAGCGGAATCTCGTTTAGCAGGCTAGCAGCTGGCCAACCCTGCCACCCTGCTGCCTTCCATGTTCACTCCTTTGAAGCACGAAATCTGGGTTTGCTTCGGCATTAAAACAAAGCGAGATTCACTTCTCTCTCACCTCTTGCGCTTTGCTCAGACATTTTTTTTTTTATACTGCATTTTGACGTGCAAGTCCGCCTTTTACTTGGTCTTTGTTCCGATGCTTGTTTTCTGTGTTATATGTTTTACATTCAAGTGGGTTAGGGTTACAAGCAAGCTAGTGGATGCCCGCTCATTTCCTTTGACATTAGTCTCCGCATACCTTGTTTCACCTTGCGATGGACCGCTGCGGACGCTTCGAGTCACCCCAAGCAATCCAGCACCGTGAGTTCAGTAAATTCAGTGCTTTTTTTTTTTTTTTGAGGGATTTAGCATTTTTTAGCAATTACTTATGCGTTTGATAATGTCAGCTTTATGCTGCTTATGTCGGAAACATTGCACAATACAGCTGTCAAGTGCCAATTTTTATGTTTATGAATTAGAGGAATGGAATGGAACAATTCATCCATTCCAGGAGTGGGAATGGGCCCACTATCCCCATTCCTAGGAGAATTATCGAAAACTCTAATTCCCGGAACAGAATTGGAATGGAATGAGGGTGCCCATTCCACAACACTGGTCCATATTAACGAGACATGACTGTATAGGCCAGTGGTCTCAAACTAATTTGAGTATGAGGGCCAGATAGCCCACACCCGAAAGGTCGAGGGCCAGCATAAGAACGGGGGGGCAGGAGGGGGGAGTTTAAGGTTAAGAGAAGAGACCTCCTGCTCTACGCTTTTCGTGAACTCACAGTTTGGATAGTGATCTTTAGATTTGATTTCTTTATATGACTACTTTGGTCCCTGACCTGCTGTGATAACAATAATTAAAATTACATCGCCTCGCCAAAGTGCTGTCATTTTTAATAGAATAAGAGAGCAAGTACACTGTTGCTCCCATTGTTAAATTCACTCAGGAATTAGCCAAGCTCAACAGGTGTCTAAAAACAGACAGTTAATTTGACAGTTATTGCTTTCCTTGCGATTTTTATTACAGCACTCTGAACAAATGATCAGCAATTAATGGGGATTTTTTTTTTTTTTTTTTTTTTTAAGACGAGAATTTTAAGCTGATAGCTTTATCTTTGGCAGTGGCTCCTGCTGATGGAGGGATTGTGGAATTGTTGTACATTACAAAAAGTCAGGAAGCAACGGATAAAGCAAAACAAATAGCAAATTAACACAGATAAGTATAAACTATGTGAATACTTTAAAAGAGCGGAGCTACTCTTTGAGCGAAAATGAATTGGCGAGAAGGGGTCACCACGGTGCATGCTATTTCTAGCGCTCAAGATGATTGGAACCGGGACTCGTAGCCGGTTGCCTGCGGGCCGCGTCCCAGCGAGTCACGGGCCGGATGCGGCCCGCGGGCCGCAATTTTGAGACACCTGGTATAGGCACACCTTGTCTAAAATGTCATTTCCTATGCTAATCTAAAGACAGAAGGCCTTTTTCCGCTAGGTTTCTTTTTTCACATTCATGGAAGACCTTCAATACTTTATCCTTGCAAAGGCACTTCAAATGTGGTGGAAGGGCCGCCAGCTGATTAGCAAAATAAAACCCTAGTGCCATGTCTGGGCTCAAGGCATCAATGTGTGGCGTTTTGCACGTGTTGGCCATTTGTCTCGTTGATTCACTAAGAATCTTGCCCAGTGCTGCGTCCTCTCTGGCACGACGCTCCGAGGCGGTAGCCTTGCGGCCTGGCTTCCTTGAGGGCGGGTGTGGAGGCACTGCGGGCGAAACCGTTGCCTGCGTCGGTGCTGTTACTGGAGCCACCTAGGGTGGTGACACCGGACGAGTCGGCTCCAGCTGAGATGGGCTGGGCAGCTGGCCATCCCCCTCCAGCGTCAGCAACACCTGGCAGCTGTCCGTTGGCCGCAGGCTATGATCGAGGGAGTGCTACAAAGAAAACGGGCACATTACTGCACTGCACTTAAAACAGGCTGCTTCAAGACAATGCACTTTACGTCCTCCAGGTGGGCTTTGTTACTGCCCTCTGTCACGTCCTCTATGGCACTTCCCCCACATGGAGTGTAGGCCCCCATGAGGAGATCTGCATCTCGAAACACAATGTAAATGTTGAACATGAATGAGCACAAAACTCATGGAACCAGTCACACACCAATGCCTAAATGTTCTTTGATTTCTAAATTGAGAGTAGCAGACTTCGTTAAAAGTCAATGTTGCCTGCTATTTCACATACCCCTTGGTGTCTCCACTACCCCTGCGGCAGGGCCAGTGCTGCCAACCGTCTTGCGGGCCTTGGTTCTAGTGGAAAACAGCATATTGAATGAAAACAAATAAATCATATTCATAGTTGCCAATAAAGCCTTGTACAGAAAAAACAGTACCCTCCGTGACGTATTTGTCCAGCTAAAAAATGCAGGTACGGGTAGAGCTCCCAGCTGGGCCGCTGCACATCATCTTGCCCAGCACCACTGTGGCCACAACTGGTTCTTGATTCCTGGCCATACCTCTCTCTTATTTTCTGCCACATGCGCATGCATTCTCCAGGATCCATTTCTGTAATAGAATGCCAAACTGTAGTCACACATTGGTGTAAATTTTCAGCATGCGAGATAGTGTGCCAAGAGGGAATGGCAGGATGTGCACGGCTCTCGTCAATCCCCCACAATGGAGATTTCCATTCAACATATGAAATTTCAGTTGGTGTGGCACAACCGTTTCAGTTGGTATGGCACAACCTTTAGTAACAGCTGCTCGAGTTGCATACCAATGCTTAAAAACTTGTTAGTACAACTTGAAAAAGAAATACTTTGATATTTTTTTTAACTAACTAATCTCAAATAAAGCTTTATGCCAAGTCTCACCCTAAAACCAAACATATTTTCAAGCGCAAGGGTGACAGCTTGCTACGCTTGCATTGCACGATGAGATGTACTACAAAACGTGGTGCTTTCATAATTGTTTGTAGTGATAAAGAGCAGGCAAGCTGGTGAGGAATTCAGGCTTTAGCTGCGTTTAAGATTTTGTTGTCTTCATCAGTTTTTTTTGTTTTTTTATTTATTTATTTATTTTTCACTATCTTAGGGTCTACAAGCATGTCCATAATTGTTGCAACTTCTGGCGCCAGTATTTTTTGGATGATTGTAGTTGCAAGCGCACGCTGATCGGACTGTGATTTTTGTAAACACTCGGACCGTGCATAGTATGAAAATCGGACGATATAGCTCGTTTCCGCTCTTGTACCGCAGCGCAGATACACCCAATACAACCCCCCGAGACGAATTTCAGCTTCCCGTACACATCTTGACGCATGTGCAATGTCTTTCCTGTCCGTCCTCTTTCTCTAAATCATTCGTATTTTAGAACAGAAGAATGCGACGAAACTTACTCAAGAGGCCTCAATGGGCTTCCAGGAGTTTTCCTTCATGCTTGGCAGCCGGTATTCCGGCCTTCGGGCATCCCAAAGCCATGGGTATTTCTCTACCTCGGCAATGAGGGCTTGCTGAGTCGACGGGGGACCACCTTGCGCTGCCATTTTGAAAAGCGACTGGTCTCGCGCTCAGCGCGCATGCACAGGGGCTTCACTTCCTCCAGTCTTGATTGGTTGAACGTAAGCGGTCGCAAGAAAAGTTGAACCGAGCCCAACTCCTTCTGTTATGTTACGACGGGCGCTACGTCGCTGGTCACCATTGTAGCAGGCGCTCGTAAGTCATCCTAAGGAATTCATAACGTAACGTAGTGTAAGAAAACGCAAGAAATTGTCCAGGGTGAATGGGCCGTTTGCATCTCGTTAAGACTGCTTGCATCGAGCTGTTGCTATGGTGACCCTTACGACGAGCCAATGGAGAGGCGCTGCGCCGCACGACGCAACGTGGTCGGCGCAAATGTATGAACCAGAGTTAAAAGTTAGGTTACATTGGACCGCGGCAAACTCTAGGAGCCATTTTAGCCAATCCAGCACCGCAAATGTATCGCGCGACCAGGCACCCCGCATGTCGCCGCGCCCCTCCCAAAGGTTGTGCAAGATTCATGCAGCATTGAATTGGCTTCGACAGCTTGTAGCCTCCCCGTGGTCCATCATGAGGTGAAACGGAGCATAACCATTACAACAGGAATGGCCAGACGGACATATTCGAAGAGCCACGGCTAATTCCGCTCATAAAGCGATTGCTCGGTATGTTTCTTTATTGTGAGTCCCCATTCGCAAAACAAAAACCTCGTCCGGTCTGTGTACAATGGTACAAAGCTGGCAAAATACAAGCTGCACTTTCTGTTATGTTTCTTTTTTTTTATTTTGATGCTGTCCGGGCAGAGGTTAACAAGGGAGCCGCAAACCCAACTTTGGCCCCTGAAGAGCCGCATGAGGCCCACAAAGGAGCGAGTTGGCCACCCCTGCTTTACAAAGGAGCACGAAATGGATGAGGCCTAGTATAGTAGAAATGAGACGACTGTTTCGCGGTCTCTTCAAAACCGGAGGAATCGAGAAAATGAGAATGCCAAAACGGAGCTCACCCAGCTCAATGTCCTGGTCATCCGTCAATACCAGAATGATGTTGGGCTTCTTTTCGCGCGGAAGAACGTTGGACTTGGGCGGACGTGGCTCTTTCTTCCGTGGAGGCACTGGAGAAGACCGTAGAGCGACCGGCACACCCCTCCACACCGGCCGGCGCCCGTCAAAGGCCGAGGAACTGGACGTGGCGGCCGACGTTGGGCCAGCATCGCCCCGAGACTCGGACCATGGTCCCGAGACACGGGCTTCGCTGGGCAGTGGATTCGTCGAGCGTCGGCAGAAGGTTGGAGGCAGCAGAAGCAGCAGGAGGCACGAGACGTTTCCGATTGTCTGCAAGTTCGTCCATCGCTTCGGCATAGTGGGGTTGCTGTGGACAGAAGACGGCACCAAGTTACTCGCCAAAGTCGATCTATGAACCAAATGTAAAAAAACTTAAAATGACAACCATGCATGGTCGCAATCGTGCCCTATTAAAAAGGCACCAAGTTACTCGCCAAAGTCGAACTGGTTGTATCAATGCCTGAAGCGGCTGCAAAAGCAGTTTGGGGTCCTTTTATGGCACAAAGTCGATCTATGAACCCCATGTAAAAAAACTTAAAATCGCAACCATGCATGACCGCAATCATGCCCTATTAAAAAAGTGACGAAACATTGTGACACACCCGTTTTTCTGAGATATATCTCGGAGAAGTTTGCACTGTGAAGAGATGATCTCAAAATTCATTTTGAAGCTCCTTTAAGGCTGTGGTAGCTTTGCCTGCATTGGAATTTGGAAACTTGTGTATTGTGCTGTGAAGAGGCAATCTAGCCAATACAGTGAACTGGCCAAACAACCAGGGCTAGCGGCTGCACTGCAATGACCGAATTGCAACTCTAACGTAGAGGCACAAGTTGGCACACTTCAATGCAGGCTACCTCCCTACTGTCTAATAGTTGACACAGCAACATTCCTTTTCCTGCAAGAGGCCACAGATGGACTGACCATACATGGTGACTGCAAAACATTTGGTGTCTATTCAGTGCCAAGAAGAATAAACTTCCTCGAATACCTGACCCTCTAGTAGTAATGTCATCCACTGAGCCCCGCGGACCTTATTCAAAAGTCATAGCCGTCTGTAGTCTGCCTCTCCCAAAAGGGAAGCTGAAGCACTTTTCGAGAAACCTGAGTTGGGAGCGGACTTCTATTGCTTTTTGACCTGTGAATTCAGCTATCGCACTTATCTTGGGCAAAAATAAATGTAAACCGAATTCATTTTTAAAAATATGTGCAGCGACTGCCGTCAGGCATGCGGCGATCCTCTCCGCCGCCTATTATTTGTCCAGAGCGTCGGGGCGTTGTTGCCAGCATCCCCTAGCCAGTTTAGTGGCAAGCAAGGGTCATCTGACCTCGCTGATGACGTCAATTTCGCTAGTTTTTCTCTCCGCTCTCGCCAGAGGCGGACTTCCCAATAGGCAGAGTAGGCAGCTGCCTAGGGTGGCAGAATTCTGGGGCCGGCCAACATGTGGCTGCCCCCACATTAATTGGCTTTCTTTTTAAATCTAGCTCCAAATTTAGTTGCTTTGGGAATTCTAGCTCGAAATCTATTTACTCTTGAAAATTTTAACTTTAGACTTAGCTACTTCCCCCCCACCACCGCTCCCCATGGCCACTGACCATGGAGAGTGGGAGTTGGGGGAGGGGGGTAAGGGGGATGGCACTATTAGAGTCTGCCTAGGGCGGCAAAACGCCGCCTGCCTCTGGCTCTCGTGCTTTCCTACCCTCGGTGCGTTGCAACGGGCAGGCCTATGTCGAAATTTTAATTGGCGATTACAATGCTCCCACTATAAAGATCGAAAGAAAACTTAAGACACATAATTTTTAAGCTGTCCACATTACAACTTTTACTTTTTGTTTAAATTCAAGGACCTCTTCAGCTTCCTTTTAAAGGGGTGGGCAATAATTTGCATACTTGAAACGTGCATTAGGTTTTCCCTCCATGCAAAAAATGTTGCGGAACAAATGAGAGAAAAATGAGCAACATTCACCCCTTCAACCGGAAGACAGAACAAGCGGCTTCATGATCTGGTGCCGATTATACGCCGTCTATGTTCATCCTTCGCAACTTTTAGCGATGGTAGTACCACAAAGTGAGAATCGCGCACTCCTGGATGATCGGTTTCAGAATGAAGGTGCTGGCTTAAAACCTTCCCGACGTGAAAGTATGCAATAAGGCTCCAATATCGCTTGTACTTGTCAATTAGAGTGACTTGCGCGTCACAGACCGATCGTTCCACTGATGTTCTACAACGATCATCCAGATGACAGCCATTATGATAGGATCTGCTCAACTCCAGATGTTGTTTGGGTTTGGCTGCCCCCATTGCAGCAGCGACTTGACACGAGCCACTGCTCCGTGTTAAATTGCTCTGAAGAGGGACTTTTAAAAAGGGCGAATTTCCTGTGCACATTGTGCCGAGGGTACGGCCACGGCAAGGTGCAGAATGAAGCCGCAAGATGAACACCCCAAAGATTTTGGCAACGAGGATAAATTTGAATGTCCTCAACAATTGAGCAGACACACGAGAATTTCTCGCGACCAAACTTTTAATCTATGGGCAACAGAAGCTGGCCAAAGACCTCGTTCATGTTGCATTATATAATTGTATAGTGCTGTAGGAGCCATTCTTCCTTTCCTAAAGCGTGTTTTCACAACCTGCTTCAAGGGCAGTGCCTCACAAATTACGACGAAACTCCATCGCAGAGGTAAGAAGCAGACGACTATTGCGAGGCTGTAGGGAACGCGGTCAACGGGGGGCGACTATTACTGTGCTGCAACCTTGAAATTTGCAACAACAAACGAGCGAAAGAGTTGTTCAACACGGACGAATGTCAATGCCAAACGAGCCGGCGTCGTCGCAGTCACTCAATCGGTCGCATTTGTAAATCCACTTAAGCTTCCTCGGGTAATTCCGTGCACAGAGGAAACCGTGCAGATGGAGCGTTAACTTCGCGGTGAAGAAATCAAGGATCCGCGATACGTGCACTAGTGTGCGCCGTGAAAATATGCCGGAGTCATCAAAAACTAGCCGTTGGAATGCCAGATACTTGTTTTCCTTGTCACGCCCTAACATCCTTCAAGGCATTCTCAGACAGGAGGATGTTGTTGAGCATCATATTTGAGGTTTACGATATAACATGCGACAACCCCCGAGTGAGCAAGTTACTCAACCGCCTCACAAAGTTGGCGAGTTTCGAAAAGCGACGAATCACTGCGGAGTCGGCAGCTCCGGTATTTTACAGCGATTAGCACAGCATGACGTTGAAAGCGACACACAGAGGGGAAAAAAACGTTGGTTGTGCGAAAACGTAATTGAGGGTCGCCTACGAGCACGAACACAAGATGCCGTTGTCACTTACCGGACAAAAACAAGGAAACCTTCGGTGAAGTTGGCGGTAAAGTTTCGAAGGCCGATGTATAATTAATTCGCCTGCTTTTAACTAAGTTTTCCCTGGAACGGTTTGAGCAACCGCATCTTCGCTTTTGTGATCTTTAAAATAGTAAACGCAGCAGAAAAAGCGCCACTTCCATTCAATCAGAGACGACCAAGTGAGGAGCCAAATTCACCCAACCAACTTTGTGAAAGGAAGGGCACCCTCAGTCGCAAGAAACGCGCTCTGAAGCGCAAACGGTTGGGATTGGTTGACTCTGCGAAGCCGCCATCGTTATGTCAGAAAAAAGCGTCGGCTTTGTTTAGAGCCTGTGGTGAGGAAACTTCCGCTGAAGCACCGTCTGGGCATTTATTTCAACACTCAGCCGAACCTTGTTTTGAACATAGGATATATCCACCATCTACTGTTATAAAATGTCATCATTTTATTATACATTTTAGTGCCATCGACAAAAAAGGAAAAAAAAAAAAAAAACATTTAAATTCTTTAAGATTTATTGCAAACGTTATGAGATGCAGTGAATCAATGTTAGGCGTCAATATTTGCTGAAATAAATATTCATCAAATTGCATCGATCAATGCAATAAATCATCCTGTGGCGTTTTTTTTTACATTTTTGTTTGTTTATTACATAGGATTTGGAGTAGCTCGTTTGAGACTAGTAACTAGAGATTACCCAAATAAATAATTCACTAAAGTTAATCATAAGCATTTTCGTGTGAAAACTAGTAGTACAAATTATTACAGTAGTGGTGAGCTTGTTGAGTTCTACTTTCAAATGTGATTTGTTTGAGAGTAATATCGGTAATATCGTGATTGCGTGGTAACAGTAGACATAACATGTTTTGTTGAAATTAAAATACTGTTTTGATTAAAATCAATATCCAAATAGCCTTTTTTTTTTTTTTTCTTTGCTACTGATTTGAGTTTATTTCTGCCCTCACTTGTTGAGCGAAATAAAACGTAGACGTCTGACCGTCTGACCAGCGGAACAAATAAACGCGGAGTATCGCTACAACTAAAATAGAATGTTTTGGACAACCCCAGTTTTGCAACTCGAGTATGTGCGTAATCGAGTTCGAGTGAACTCATCGCTTCAGTTAAATACCGGCCGACCTTGACAAAGGAAAACGCGTCGCAATTTACGCAAATCTCCCCAAACTTTTCCATCCAGCGCACTACCTTCTGCGCCGAAAAGTACTCTCGAATTCTAACGCGTCTATTGGCATTACAGAGGGTCCTGTAAATCAACAGTCGACGGCCATCACCAAATCCTGCGAAATCTCAAACACACCGCCGCGTGATGCCACATCTAAAAAATTTACGCGGCAACTCGCCGAACAGTTGCGTCAAGAGCCGCCGATTCCCCGATTTCGTAACCTCAAACATGCGTCACGATTCGTCAAAACGCTCATTGCGCCTAAGAAAGTAGTGCTGCGCCTTCCTGCCCCGACCAGTCGATGCAGACCGACTTTACGGCTTTCAAAGCAATATTTCAAATTTATTTACACCGGAAACTTATAATATGAGTAGAGAAATATTATGTTGACCGTTCAGTTTTGAAAAAAAACTTTCCGAGTCCGTTGACGTCAGATGTCTTCCGGGGTGGAAACCGCTCCGAGAGCCGTATCACTCCGCGGCTGCCTTCGCGCTTTCACAATGGCGGTGCGTAAGTTGCCTTTCCATAGTTTGTAGCTGTTTCTGAGTGGGGTAGGCCGACCAGTTGGCCGTTCCCATCGGTTCGTCCGGAATCATCACGGAGCACACTACACACTCTGGAATACTCAACCGCTCAACTGGAGACTGCCACCCCGCTAGGAAACAACGCAAATCAAGGTGCGTATTTGCGTCCCCTTTCCAAAGCCGGAGCTGCCCGAAAAAGCACAACACGGCCCCGTATTTTTGGTCGCGTCGGGACTCGCATTCTTTTCGCGTCCGCATGCCTTCGCCTTCGTTTCTTTTTGTTGACGGTTTATTGGTCTGTATTCGCGATCTAGCCCTCGTTTTGCGGCGGCCACGACGTGGTGTTTTAGTGAATTCGTACATACGCTTTGCGAGGAAAAACATTGCGTTATTGATCGAAACTCCCGATAGCGCGTTGTAGCTGTGCGTTCGCTGTGCGGCGTAGCGCTCCCCGACTCGAAAACAAACGCTGTGGTCTTGCAGCGTCCGGTCGAATATTGCGATGGGGCGCTGTGCAACCAGACTAATAAGAAAAATTAATGTGGCCAGGAAATTTCTATATTTGGCAGCGGAAACGGCGGCCTCTTTTGTGTTTATGTACACGTGTGCCGTCTCTGCGTAAACCTTGGATTCCAGTCTTCCTTGAACGATATACCCTTGAGTTTATTTGTTTTCTTTTTGCTTTGGTCCGATCTTGGTAACTAGAAATTTATTTTTTCTCCCTTTTATTCCAGTCTGGAAGCCAAAACTGCGACCATCTGAACGACAGTAACAAAGAAAGAAGCAGGGATATAAAAAAAAATCGACGCGATCTCGGCGAACTAGTTCAAGGAGTCATTGTTCGGGCGACGTGGAGAGAGAGCGCTTGCTCGTGTTGCCTCTTCGGGACGCAAGCCTTTTCGCCTCGCCGTCGTCGACCAACAGTCACCAAAGCCATCTCGAAAACGTCTTCGACCTCTGTTTAATTTAATTATTTTCTCGCGGCAATCGAAACGATGTTCACTACGACGCTCTAAAGGGAAAAGAAGCAGAAATAAAAAAGTTGGAAGCAAGAGGAAGACATCCCTGTCGACTCGTGTGCGTCAATCGCTCCGAGCCTGTGCGTCGTGCAGCCGGCGGTGTGAATACATCTCCACGTCTCGGATACCGTTCCAGATGAATATCGCACGCCTATCCGTGGATATCCAGGCGGCTCAAGAGAAACGGCAGCAGAACTTCGACAAGGTTCCCGATGGAGTTTGTGCGACAGGGGGCAACCTCAGCCCTAACCTCCAGCCGGCGACTCCGCCGGTGTTCCCGTGCAACCGGGAACCCTTCGCGGCCAGCCTCGTCGGCGGACGCTACATCCTTCTCGAGCAACTCGAAGGCAGTGCCATGTACAGAAGTGTCAACGTCCACACCCAGGAGGAATTTTCCTGCAAGGTGAGCTCCGCTTTGCGTCACACGCTTCTGCTCCGACATTTTGGATGAGTGAACGGTGCATTATGCGCCGCAGCTGCGTAGCAGCTGTCTTTTTTCGTTTATTGTTATTCGTTGTCGTTCTCGATATTATTATTTAACCCTGATGCGTGATAATCTTGGACGATTAATTGCGATTATTAAATTGTATCTACCTTTTAATGTTTTTTTTTTTTTGCTTTTTTCGGAGATTTTTAGCAGACGACTCGGGCAGCGTCTGTTGCTTTCGTGGCACGCAGCGTACGCAATAGTAACGTTATAGGTATTGCTATATTGCATTTCTAATATGGTTGGGTTAAATATTAGTGTTATTACTACAGAACTTTGCCAACATTTATAAGAAGTTCAGCCTAAAACAGAATGCCGGTCTAGTTCCAGCTGTTTGGTCGAAAACTGAGCTAGTCGAAATGTTTCTAGAAAGCTCTTTTCCTTCGTCTTCATCACCGTTGTTCTTTCTTGGAGAATAAAGAAACATATTATCTCGCCTCGATTCACATTAGGTTAAAAAAAGATACATAAAATGTTAGTTTGATTTTTTAGGAAACGTACCACAAAGAATCACTTAAATCACAGCGGCTCGTGGAACTTTTTTTTTTTTTTTTGTCTAATCAAGACAGAGCGCTACGCGGAAAACTTAGCAGACGGAAGCGGGAGGCCTCTAACGACTTCCGTCTGTTCAACCCTTCCAGCAAGGCCTCAGCTAGCGCGAAAACTAAAAACGAAAATGACGCATCCTTCTGCAGAGCGCAACAGGTTGCCGAACCCGGCTATTTTTTTATTTTTTTTTGGGGGGGGGGGGGGGGGGGGGGTGAAGGGGGGAGGGGAGGGCAACCGCCATTCAGATATTTGGGCAAAGTCCTCGAGGGACATATTTTGGGCAGCGCTCACCATGCTGAGTTTGCCCACTCGCCGTGTGATTCATCCCCAGATGGGACCTGTCCTCTCCCCTCTCATTCCGGTTGTGGCCTGGATGCTACTGTTTTTCCACACGCGTAAAATCCCTGGCTCGATTCCAGTGGAACAGCGGCGGCTAAATGCGACCCGCGGTTGCACCCCAGGCATGACGTCTGGTCCGATTTTCGGCTCTGGAGCCGACTATATTCGGACAGGAAGAGTCACCCACCCCGTTTTCGGTGTGTGGATTTCTCAACACCCTTCATCGCAACACCTCAAGGCTTGCTTGCTTGACTCAACTCTTTCGCGAATCACTTGGTGACAGGCTTTTTTTTTTCTATTAATATTTCTTAGGATGTCCTGTTGTGATAATACGTCGCTGGTATTCATTCGCCTTTGCAAAACTTTTATCCTTTTTTTTCGTTTTTTAATGGATTTATTGCATACTGCCACATCATAAAACGCTGGCCTAACATTTGGCGACTGCAGCCAAAGTGCTTGTACCCTGTTGACGAACTTAAATATGGGTGGATGGCGATTTCCAGGCTGTTTTCCAAGTTTTGTTTTCTAACTTGCTTTTGCAGAGGCTTTATTTTTCTTTTTAATTTCTCTCGGTATGTGCTGTTTATTTCTGGCTTGTTTTGCGACCGACGTGTAAAAAAAGGCTGCAAGTGTGGCCCCACCTTTCCACTGCTTTGTTGGCGTCATGACAGTTGCGTGGTTTTACCTCACATCCCAGCTGGTGACTTGTTTGGGTTTTCCGTCCGTGTCGCAAATGGTCCATTACAGAACAGCGCAGGTGTTGAGATAGGACAAACAGTTTTGTCGAGAATAGCGCACGTAATTTCGAGCAGGGTAGAGGTCCCTTGGCGACCTGAATTTTTGCGAGGTCTCTCCCGCAAATATAAACTACTCGTAGTTACAATAATTAAAAAAAAAAAAATCAGAAAAGTAGATGCGCTTTGTAGTGGCAGAAAAGGAAACAAGAATCATTTGCCACTGGTTGTCTTGCCCACCAATCGAAGTGCACCCACATGGTCCAATCGTCAGTGGTCGTCCAGTACCTTCAGTGGCCGAAGATCTTTCAATCTCTATCAGCCGCTTAGTAACAACTTATCATTTGACAATCCACAGGTGTCCAGTCAGCTTTCAGTAGCCAATTGAAAATTCCTGCCGCCTTTTGCTTTGTCCGTCAATCACGTTATGCTGCGGCCAGAGTGGACCATTCTGGGACCCGTCGCACTTGACAACGGTTATCCTTTGCGGAGCGCAAGTTCATCTGCTTCTTTTTGCAGGGGAATTGCGATGGCCGTCAGTGAGACGCCGAGCTTTGATTGGCCCTTATTGGAGGATAGTGGGCAGTCCTCGAAGCAAGCTGCCTTGAGGTCTACCCACTATCCATTGAATCGGAGTTCGGCGTTCTGACGTCATCGCAACCCCTACAAAAGGAAGCAGACGAACTTGCGCTACGCATAGGCAATCGCCAGCAGGTGTGCAGTAACCACTCATCATTTGACACTCCAACGGTATCCGGTCAGTTCCCTGTAAGCTTCCAGAAGCCAATCCATATTTGCCGTACATCTACCAATCGGGAGTTGGCGCTCGCTGTGCGAAGGCCGACCAGTACTTCCGGCAGGCGTACACAACGGCGGCGGCCATTACGGCGTGACGACGATCGAATGAATACGCCGGAGTAGAAATAATAATAAAAAGAGCCAACGCGCGCGTCGTGTTTGTCGGGCAAGCTCTGAAGAGAACATAAAAAGCAAACGAGTACGAAGGGCTTTCGTGGAGGACGCAAGCGTTTGCGGCTGTTGCTCGCCGGAGTCCTTTTGGGGCGATATCACGGGCAGAGCGCGTTGCCGGGCGTGATGCAAGACGAGCCCCATCGGCTCCGTTATCGGGCCCACGCGCCCGACGGCGAGCCGAGCATTGCCTCGCGCGGGGGCAGGAAACTCTGCGAAAGAGCCGTTCCAAACGGACTCCGGGTTCGTCTGACTTGCGCAAGGAACTGTTGCAGCAGCTCTTCGCCTGACTCGGGAGTGCCGCTCTGGAAAACGCTTTCTGCGTCTCTCTTTCTTCCCGCCCGGATTGCCGTCGTCGTCGGACTGTGTTGCAAAAGGGGAGATAGGCTTTGTTTCCGAGAGAGGTCCGTTTTGCCAGCTCCTTTCGACGGCTTTGCCCATTTGTAGCTTTGGATTTGCGGGTGCTTTTGGAGCGGAGGGGATTTCGTGCCTGGTGGATTTATTTGGAAAGTTGCCCGTCTGCTCTCAGGGTTTCTTGGCGAGAAATGTTAACCAGGACGTTTTGCGCATTGTCCATACGCCGTGCTAAGTAGTTCATGGAAGATTTGGTTGTCGGAGCAAGACGCGACGGTTTTGGCGTTTGAAACGTGTACGTCTTGATAAGATAACACATATGCGGAGCGCAAGTTCGTCTGCTTTTGCAGGGGTGGCGGTGGCGTGAGAACGCCGAGCTCCGATTGGTTCTGAATGAAGGATAGTTGGTAGACCTCAAGGCAACTAGCTTTGAGGTCTACCCACTGTCCTTTCAATCAAAGCCATCAAGCTCGGCGTCATTCTGACGTCACCGCCACTCCTGCGCAAGTCGCAGACGACTTGCTCTCCGCATATAGTCTAGAATGCACGTACAGATATCTCAATCCTCCGCACAAAGGAGAAAATTAGTAAGGCTACGCGAGGAGCTGATTTCTTTTGCGGTTCTGGAGGTGAAAACGAGTACAAACGCCCAAAGACGACAAGGGCCAAGAGGATGCGCTTGTGGCGTTGCTTGATTGGCTCCAATTTTCTGCAGAATTCGGCATTCAGAGTGGCTCCTATGTTGGCTAACCATAACCCGCCTACTTGTTGCTTTCGTGGTCAGCGTCCACGTGGAAATAGCTACCCTTCTTTGAGGCTGCCAGAAAGCGTAGAGGTCTTCGAGGAGTTGATGAAAGTGCCAAATGCGAGCCCTATTATTTCGAGACTGAAAACGCAGATCCGAATTTATTTTGTGTGTGTGTGTGTGGGGGGGGGGGGGGGGGGGGGGGGGAACTTATTGGCGGGAAAACAGGGCGGCCCGACTGCAAGGTTGGGGTGGTTGCGCAAGATCTGTTTGTCGAGCAGCAACCGCCGGCTCCGCAGTAGGTAGCGTTTTCTGGTTGCGCAAGTTCTTCAGACCCGAAAGGGTATTGCGGGCGCTCGAATTTGTTAGCGTGTGTACGCTTTCACAAGTGATTGCGACAACGGGAGTGCGGCGTGTGGAGATGAACTTTGCATTTGCAGCCGCATTGATTGCAGCACACCTCAAACGAGACTTCACAAACTTGCGCGAAGATTAGGTTGTCGGAATGTGTACTCTAAATTGCCCGCTGTACGCGTTCGAATGCAACGCTTGGTACTTCGCATACTCGGGGTTTTTCGAGGCACCTGTTAGGTCTGAGGGCTTTGGGGACCGAGTTACCAGTTGCGGCTCTAAATAGTAGTTGGAAATGACATACACACACACAGGTGTGTATTTTCTCGTGAAAATGGGGCTGGCGGAATTCACAGGTTGCAATCCATGGCAGGCTGGAGATGCAATCTTTCCAATGCGGAGTGCAAGTTAGTCTGCTTCTTGCACAGGGTTTGCAATGATGTCAGAACGCCAAACTCTTATTGGCTGACCAAAAAACAAATAGTGGGTAGACCTCAAGGCATCTTGCATTGAGGTCTACCCACTATCCTTTCCATCCAAGCCAATCGGAGCTCGGTGTCGTTCTGATGTCACCACAACTCCTGCTCAAGAAGCGGATGACTTGCTTTCTGCATACTTTTTTTCTTCCCGAAGCAGGCCTACATGGCGTCCCTTGTAGTAAATACTTATTAATTTGTTCATCCATCCGTGAAACAAAATGGCAGACAGCTGTTTGATACCAACAGGAAAATCTAAATCTCTTGCAGTATTTGGTCGAATCAATAACTTTGTTAGAGGACAGGTGTGGAGAGTAGATGCAGTCGTGTTTCATGTGTTTTCATAGTCGTGTAGAAGATTCATATTTGATTGGGTACAAGTTGTCCGGTGCTACTGGATGCTCTGCAGATTAATCAATGTTTTTCCAGCATGTGGTTACTTGTCCAAGGTTCCTGGAATCAGCAATCTCCATTGTTACCTATATTAGTGCTTATGGTGGGTCTAGGCAGCTCTAGTTTGACATATTTGCTAAATTTATCCGAATACCTTTAGAGCTCGTATCTTTCAGGGCCATTTGCCAAAGGAGTTGTCATCTTATGGAACTGGGTAGCTGCAGTCGTTCAGTAGGCCCTTTTTCTTGACCTGACATTTCATAGTCAGGCAGGTTGATCAATTAATATGTGTAGCTTTCACAAAGGCAGTTGGCTCAACATCTTGCACATGAGTTACCACACTACACTATCTGTAGTTTTCACATTGCAGTTGGCTCAACCTACACACAACCAGCTATCACACTGTACCATGTGTAGTTTCCACAGATACAGTTGGCTTAGCATCATTCTAGTCTTCTTGCACGCAATGACCTGCCGCACTGTGCCGTGTGCAGTTTTCACAGATGCAGCGCTCGTTCGTTCTACCTGTCCTTTTCCCTTCCATGTTCACAGATGCAGGTGGCTTACATAACTAGTTGCTGCATTGTATTATGTGTAGTTTTCACAGATGCATTTGACTCAACCAGCTACAACGCTGTACTATGTAGTTTTCACTGATGCAGTTGGCTCAATGCGATTTCCTTCTTTTACACGCAACAGGTGGTGCCGAGCGAGCGTTGCCGGCAGGCACTGGCAGGCCACCTGCGACTGGACGGTCGGGACCACGTGAACCAGGTGGAGGAGGTGCTGGTGGGGGACTCCCTGACGTATGTCTTCTTCAAGCGCTCGTACGGCGACCTCCACTCGTATGTGCGTGCCAAGCGGCGCCTCAGGGAGCCCGAAGCGCTCTGCCTGTTCCACCAGGTGGCCTCGGCAGTGCAGGCGTGCCACGAGGCAGGCGTCGTGCTGCGAGACCTCAAGCTGCGCAAGTTTGTCTTCGAGGACCCCGAACGGTGAGTGTTCCTTCTTGTGGCAAAGCGGATAAATAATCCAGGTATGGAAAAGCGCCCAAAAAGAAAAGACCGACAATGCAGGCTGAACGATACAATGCCCCTTGTATCATTTGGCCTGTCTTGTTCCTGTATTTTTCGGTAATTTCCAAACTTATTGTGACCACACCCACAAGGTAGACCTGGTAGCGTGTTGCACCTTTGAAGGGACCATGTGGATCGGTTTCTTCACATGGTGCGCTGCGATTTTCTGTTCAGGTATCCGCATCTCATATTTGAAAATATGATTTGATATGAGCCCACCTCACTCAAAGGAGAAAAAACATTCTTTTTCCCTGTGGACAAACGTTCACCCAAGCCTCTTTTTTTGTGTGTCTGTGAAGTAGCATTGTACTTAATTGTGGTGTTTATTCGAACAGAAAAACTGAGAATTGGGGTACTTTATCTTGCCAAAATAAATACCACTGTGGACCGCTAGTCATTTGATTGTTTAAGCTTTAATGAAATTCTTTGGGGCATCTAACAAACAGGGCTATGAAGGCTCACTTCACCTTCCGAGTTACCCCGCACCACTTAAGCAGTTCCCCCTGTTACGTCGTAGCTAGCAAGCTCAAATGCCTTTCTTTTTGTCTCCCACAGCACGCGGCTGAAGCTGGAGACTCTCGAAGACGCCGTCGTTCTCGAAGACCCGTCGAGCGACGCGCTGAGCGACAAGCACGGCTGCCCGGCGTATGTCAGCCCGGAGATCCTGACGACGTCGGCCGGCGGACGCTACAGCGGGCGCGCCGCCGACTGCTGGAGCCTCGGCGTGCTCCTGTACACCCTCCTCGTGGGACGCTACCCCTTCCACGACAGCGATCCCGGCGCACTCTTTGCCAAGATCCGCCGTGGCGTCTTCTCCGTTCCGGAGTCTCTGGGTCCAAGGGCGCGGTGCCTGGTGCGCTCGCTGCTCCGGAAGGATCCGTCGGAGCGACTCACCGCGGAAGAAGTCCTGGGACACCCGTGGTTTGCACGGCGGAAGTGCGCGACCGCGTCCTCGGTGCACCGGGAAGGTTGCCTCAACCGCGAAGACGCGTCGACGGACCAGACTGTGCCGGAGTACGCGGCGCCGCCGGAAGCGATGACAGACTGATGTGCGCACCGCTTAGTCTGGGTGCGGATTGCGGCGGACGTTTGGGGTGCCGTTCTTCTATCACTGCCGCGGATATGGCGGGGGCGCGGAAGAGCGGTGTTGCCCTCGCCACTGTGTTCCTCCACGGCGGCCTCTCGTGTTTAGAACTCGAGAGTTCGGCAGCGGCGACGCACATGCCCGCGTTGGTACAACGGAGCAAGCGCCGCCGTCATGGGGGAAACCGGCGAGCGACGCCGTCGGAGCACGAACCCCGCGTCTCTCGCAAGGGAGACGCGGCGTCTCGCGGAATTCCGTCGTTCCACCGCCCGACCGCAATGTATCGTCTGCGACGAAAGCAGACGACTCCAAAGAAGCAGACGACAGTCTGAAAAAAACAAAGTGTGCGCACTCTAAGGAACCGAGGGATGCAAGAGCACCTCATTGAATCATTTCACTGTATAGTCCCACCTTTCCACACTGTTCTCATCAGAATGCGTGCCAACGTTTGAAACAAAGAAACTGGGAAGGTGCGAGGTACGCCCTCGCACTTGTGTAGCTTTTCATTCCGACGCTTTGTTTCTTGGGCGCGTGCTGGGTCCACAAGCAGCCACTGCTCGCTTGAAAACAAAAAGAAATGAGGAACGCCAGCTAGATAGAGTCACGACGGGCGGTTCGCAGAACCGGAGGCACTGTGCAATCGTGTGCGTGTATGCATAAATGGAGCGAGAAACATACGACAAAACAAAAGAAGCACACTAAAGTGTAGAGGGAAACCTGAATGTCAGCCTATGATCAACGTTGTTGCGCTTGCGCAAACTCTTTGTTGTTGGTGTTGATGCCATCGATGTGTTTTGGCAGTCTCTCCTCTTTTTCTTTTCGTGCAACTGTCTCTATTTCCTGTGCAACTGCTAAATTTATTTAAAACTCCGGTGGGGGAAAGGAGTGGGTGGATTCTCCCCGTGATTCTCGGTACTCTTTGGAAGGTTGAAGCAGTTCTTTGTGTACATCTAAGGAGGGACTGCTGTTCTTTTTTCTTTTTTTTTATTGTTGTGGAACATCTAAGTTGTCCCATATTCTGGTTGGAGTCATGTGTAGTTGGGATTTCTGTTGCATGTAAATAAATGGAACACTTTGGTCGAAACACCTGGAATCTGCTGTTTTTCTGGGCAAGCTCTCTTAAACGACTTGCCTCCATGTGCATGCTTTAATTATGGCACACTTTGGCCTGCAAGAAGTAGTCTCTTTCCGCCACACTGGCTATGGTGCAATCCGTTGACCGATTCTGAATGCTTGACCACACTCGTCCACCAGTTACTGTGGCCTTCCCCTTTACTCTGCTTCATGCGACTGCGGCTATACAGTGAAACCCGTTTAGAACGAACCCACGTACAGCGAATTATTGTGGATATCGGACTCACGAAAAATTTAAATAAAAATGCATGGAAAAAGTACTTTTTATAACAAACAACATATTGGCTATATCAAACTTTTTCACGCCGGGAAAGCTTCCAAAAATCTGCAAACAATCGTCATCTAGCCTGTCGCTTCCCTCAGATAGAAGTAGGAAAGAAAGAAAATTCCAAAAGCTCAAGTTGTGAACAAAATTGAGTGAAGAGAAGTGATTCAGAAGAGAAAGCTAAAAAATACACCACGCACGCACAAAAAAAAAAACAAAAAAAACTTAATCACAAAGCGTTTACCTGCGAAGAGAAGCAATTCAAAAGGGGAGATAGCTAGACGTGAAGGTTATAACTTACCTTCACGTCTTGCAGTGTCACAGAATACACTTATTTCGCACCACGACCGTGGCAGGGTTCGACTAGGTTCAACAATGCGAAGGCGCAGCAGACAAGAGACGGTGCGGTACAAAGGAGAGGGATAAAAAAAGGGGCACAACCTCTCCCCCGTGTGCTCGTCGCTCGTCCGACGGTCAAACCAATCCGACTCGGCTACTCGGCTCTGGGATGCTCGAATGTTGTTGCTATGGTAACCTGCAACGGCTCGTGTATGCCACGTTGTAGCGAGAGGAAAGACGGTGGGGAGGGGCGTAGCGAGTACTCCCATTATTCGTCGCGCGGCACACGTGGGCTTTTGGGATTTTCGTTGCTGGATCGTGCTTCCCCGCTTGTTCGCTGCAGTGCGAGTGAAGCCACCAGACGGCCATGTTGCTCGTAGATGATTTTCTGTTTTGCTAGCGTTGCAGAGGCTGGCGGCAGCGTGCTATAGACATGTTTTCTGCTCGTTCGTCATCATTCGCCGTAGAAGTTTTTTAAGACCCTGTGAAACCGTTGAGACTTGCCGTTGTGAACATGCGGAAAATTTTATGAAAGTGCAGTGCCACAGGAAAAAGGTACAACTCGGCAAAAGCGAAAGCGGTCTCACGGCGGGATCAAAGCTTTCTTGGCACCGCCGTAGTACTGGGTCTCTGTGCCTTCGCACCCTTGGATGCCGATCAAGATTCGTTTCGGCGCCATTTGGATGCGTTCTTCGAGTGCAATGTGCGTGAAGCCGTATCGGGGAAAAATGAAATGTGAACAGAAAAGCACGTGGCTCGCAGTGCAGGCTGCACCACCTGGAAGTGAGCCTAGGGATGAGGGTGCGTGGCCTACTCCGATGTGTTTACGCCCTTCGCTCCCCAAGCTTCGGCATTGTGCCTCTTAGTGCACTGAAAGCTATCACCGCTATCGTTGCTCGCTCGGCGTGGGCCACAGCCTCCATAGTTCGCCAAGTTATCGTGAAACAGAGTATAGGAGCTGGCTGACGTGTGTTCACCTATCATCTAATCTCTAAAAAAAACAATAACTAATTTACAAAAAAAAAAAAAATTTGCATAATTGTTTTTTGTTTGTTTTTGTTTCCATGTTTACGGTGTTTGCTTTTGCTAAAACTGCTTCCGTGCTCCTGATGCGCGTTGTAAACGTAACCATAAAAGCGATAATTGGTGGCCTCATCTGTAAACGAATATGTGAACACCTGTAAACACGTATACCGTGGCGAATACACGCGATGCCACACGAACAGCGAACTCGTGGGAGGACAAGGAAAACAGTTGGAATTTATTTATCCTGCTGAGCGATGCAAACTCTAAACCGTTGTGCTAGAACAGATCCATGCAATTGACTTGCGTGGAAAACGTTCCATGTTATGGTCTTGCTAGTTTTGTCAGTTACTTTTCTTTTTAACAAACTAACGAGCTTTTTTTTATTCTATCCAGCCATGCTTGTTCTAGTAAGGACGATTCAAAGTTTTAGAAGTGCTAAACAGGGGCTTGGAACATTTGTATTTCCTAATAATGAAAACTGTAATCACTAAGTATTGGGCTTTATTGCATGCCATGCTATTGCATTTTGAAATGATTTTGTTTTCAATTATTGAACTTGTAATTTGAGTTGCTAAATAGGCACATTGTTTTGTGTTCACGAGGCTGAAGGCTTCTTTTGTTGACTATGCCTTCTATTGGCAATCCACGATAGGAACGAGCCGGCTACCAGGACAGTTCTCAATAGCTGCCATTCAGATAAATTGCAATTAGGCCGTTTGCTTTTTCATGCAATGGGCTGGGCTATATTTAAGGAAAGGGTATGTTTGGAAATGGTTCTGGAACGTTACATAGAGATGCCTTTTTGTTATGATATTTTTGTATTAAAAAAAAACACCTTCACGCCTATAACCCCAAGTTTGGCCTGGGTGACCAGCTCCAAGATTTACTTATGCCGCTACGATACTCTAATTTTTTGGCACCTGAGCTGCAACAAAGCAGAGCTTTTACTGCTCCAAAGCTGCTCCAAAGGAGCAGCTTTGCTGCTCCCAGACCTGCTACAAAAGGCTGAACCTTGCTTCCACCCCTGAAGAGCACGAGCGAGTTGCCACGTGGACTGTAGTAAGCAGTGAATGTTCCCACGACAGACTCCGCCACTCCAGGCTGGTACACTCGTAGCTCAAAGAGCAGGAGAAAACTCGGTTAATCTAAGGAGAGCCCGCATTAGCTGGCTACTCCAAGCAATGAAAGAATGTGCGAGAGACAATAAAAATTAAATGATGCAACAAGGTTAATGTGTCAGATATCGTAATGCTATGGACACGAGGTTACGTGCTCAAAAATGTGACGGTCCAGCCTTCGTAAAGTTCTAAACGTCCGATGCACATAGAATTTGGTTAAAAAAAGCACATACATATCGAACGATGATCGCACTGCATGATCGCACATGTGCTACCCAAGTGTGTAGGCTGCATTCTTGTAGAAACCATTCCAATAATTGCCTCTCGCAATGTCATCCCTGTCTGTCGGGCTGAGGAATGCATTCTGAGCATGTGCAGTAGCTCTCTTCTGCTCGCTTTTCGGAGTAGAAGAGAGCTCCTGCATACACAGACTAGTACACCAACCATGCACAGTGAATCGCCCGCGATCCCACGCTTTGTTTTGTGTGCGACTGATGTACAGGGGGAACAGCACACCCGCAAAAGTTACTCAAATTTACGCACGCAAAAGATAGACACTTCCGCGGCACTGACTAACAACTCTTTGGTATATTTACACTTTTGTCTTGGTTTTAACAAGCGTGTGCCTGGCTTAGCCAGAGATAACAAATCAACAAAGGCAACGAGCACCACGACGACGCACGTTTGGTGCTGCGTGATTGGCTTCATCGGATCGTAGCGCCAGCTGCGGACGGACGTAAAGTGGGACAGAGCGCAGCAGCGTGGGGCGCGAAGCGCGTCTCCGACCGGAGTGTTCAGCGTCCTACGCTGCCCACACACAGAAGCGGTCCCGGAGTGGCAACCAATGACGTCGCAGAAGCCGAAGTGTCATGCTGTCGGATGTCGCGATCCTGGCAGTTGGTCGTAGAGATGCTGGCAAAAAGAAACGCTGTTGTCATGGCATCCCAACTTCTGGCTGCTGAAGCTTCCGTGGACTGTTACATTGGAAAGCGACCTCCAGCAGAACAGGCGTCTGCCATATCCATCACCGCCAGGATCGCGACCATTGACAGCATGACACTTTCATGACATTACCAGGTAGAAATCGAGGGACCACTTTTTCAGACGCAGTAAACAGATCAGTCAGAGCCCCATCCCAGGCACCATAGCAGTGCGTGCACGCACCCAGAGCCCACCGTCTCGGCATTTGTCACCTGGGTGATGAGCGCTGGAAAGCCGTATACACCTTTCCAGGGCTTACTGCCAGGGCAAAAAAAATGCCATGTCATTGGGGCGTGGATGCGTTTTGATACTCCGCAGGAGAGAGCTATTGTACATGCTTGGAAGTCTTTCCACAGCCCAGTAGACAAAGATGGCTGAGTGCACAAGTTAATTACATTAGAACGGCGCCTGGCAAGGCTAGAATTGCTTCCTGCTACGATGAAAGAGCACCAAGCTGTAAGAAGGTGGAAAATGATATGATTTAATGCAAGTTAAACAACAACTGCTCTTTTATTACAAAATGAAAAAAAGAAAGCTGCAGCAGGAACAAAGATTCCAGATTGCTGGGCAGCCGCTAGAGCGCTAGAACTCAGCGTCGCTGCCGTCATTGGCTCAGCACCGTATTGCCGTTCCTATGGACATGAAGGTCCCAAACGTGCCGCCGCCCTGAAGCATCACTTTGCCCACGCTCTGGATGAGTTCTCTTCCCCGCAAGCCGTACCTAAAGCAGAGAAGCGGAACAACAGAACGGATTGAAGGGATTGCTTACCGCCAATTTTTTGTGTACTCTGTTCACCCCTAAGCCGACCATGGTGGGAGCTACGCAGTCGCTGGACCAATCGACCGCCCGATTACACTCTCTGCATGTGGGTACGGGTGGGAGAGTGATCAAGTTGGCGAAGGATGGGCGTACAGCCGGTCCAACAAGCACGTAGCTTCCGCCGCACGGAACACAGGTAAGTCCCGTCTTTTATGACAGTTCAAACTCGGCTAAGGTGTGTTGCTTGGAAAACCTTTGTGGAGTGCCGTGGGTGGCACAAGCAAAGTTGTGCGGCTTTAGAAAGTGTCTATTTCTAGAGCGAGCAGGGACAATCGGCCGCCTCCGTTTCATCACCTAACCCTGCTCTGTCCGTGTGGGTATGGGCAGGGGCATGACCGTACAATGAAAGACAAACTTACAACTAGTCCAAAGAGTATGTGGCTTTCACTGCACTGTCATCTTGTAGTTGCGTCTCGTTAATACAAACCCCCACGATATAGACAAAATTTCGGGAGACGAACTGGTAAATACGCACACTTTTGCTTCGTCATCATGGACAACTCAGATTACAAACAATTTTTGGGGGGAACGGAGGTGCATATAGTAATGAGACGTAACTGTATATAGTGCAAGAAGGCATTCGGCGCAGTGTCCGTAGTTCCTACAATGTCAAACACGACTCGAGAGATAAGCCACAAAATAAACGGTTGCCCGAAAGCGACGAGCCGCCGAATCACCAAACCTGTTATCCCGGTACAAAAGTAACTTTTTGAGATAAGTGAATCTAGCTTTGCAACGAAATGGAGCATCATTGCCAGACGGGCAAAACTCAGTATTCCAGAAAGTCAAGTTTCCCCGGAGTACCAGGGTCATCAAACACATTGAAGCCAAAGTTTCTGGTGCACGCCGACCAGACTCTAGAGATGTAAGGTTGATGCAGGGTTCTTCCCAGAGGGGGCGGCAGTGGTTTTGCCACTTACCAGTCTGGTGGACTGTCCACCTCTACCATAGCCAACCCACCTCTATACTTCATCTCCACCGGACAAAGCAAAGTTGAATTTTAAAATGTGCGACGCCCCAGATTGTAACGTTTGGCAGACTCGTGTGGCACTATTCAATGCGACTGCATGATCTTTGCACACAGAATCACTGCTGCATGGCGAAGAAAGTGCCGAGAACACCAAAAGTGGTAGCAATCGCCTCCGCCTCCTCCTCCCCCTCCTCCTCACCCCTCCCCTCCCCCTTCCCCTTCCGCCCCACAATACCGTGGACATTGTGAGATGTCCAGACCTCAAGAATTTCTGGGAAGAACACTAGCATGACGTCGTGGTTGTCTAATCGGTGCGCTTCACAAACCTCTGCCTTAACTTTGTGTTTGACGAGTCTAGCGCCACCGAATGGAGATACCCTTTATGTCTAGGCCTGCTTCGAGTCTTTGGAGAGGTTTCGTGGCGATCGCCGCACCTCACCTAAGTGCTGAGAAGCCACCAAAGAGGGCTCCAGATGCCATGCCCACGCAGAACCCTATCGTGAAGCCCATCTTGACGCGGTCCCAGCAACTGGGACCCCTCTGGAAGCCACCTTGCACTGGCAATGGCATTGTTCCTGCAAAAGAAATGGAGAAAATTGAACTCGCAAAGATCAGATGCAGGGATTTTACGTGCCACAGCAAATGATTGAGGATTCGTTCTACCACCTGGGCCAGTTTGCCGATCTCCGTGGGTATCCGAGCCGGTGGATAAAATGGCCACGGGTACGCAACCGGCTACGTGGGGAGAAAGTGCCCGGCATTCCGGCCGACTCCGCTCGGCACACATAAGCCTTGCCCGTCGTTTTCTTTCATTCTCGCTTAATGTAACCTTTTCCAGAAATAACTTTACACGCGGCTTCTATAGTGCACAAATGCATTTCACTTTGCACGCACTTCGAGCCGCTTTGCACTCTTTTCTGCGCGTAGAATCGGGCTTTAATAATCGAGGCAAGGATCGAAATATGGCATTCTGTAATGCTAAGTACCCTTAGTTGCTTCTCTCGGGAAAACCGGTCATGTGACCTTAAAATCCTTGCGGATAAGTTAGCCGCTGGGGTGGGATGGCCACGGCGATCGGCGAATCGACCCTGGGGATCTTCGATTGTGTGCCTCTCCACAATGAGCCTCCGTCAGATTGCGGGAGGCCGAGGCTGGGATTCAAACACGTCGACTAGGGATCCGTATGCCAGAGCTTGCTCTCGGAGCCACTGATGCATAAAAGAGGACTTGCGCTGGTGACACTTGTGAGCTATTACGCTCTATCTCGCAAGTGTCTACAGTGCATGCAGCCAAGGGCATGGGCGTGTGACCCTAGTAGCTCGGCAAAACGCTTTGTTTGTACGAGAAATTGCGCCTTAGAAGCACTTGACAAAGCCACACGCTCGCGCCTGTGCCTTTGCGGGTCCTGCCGACATTTGGGAGATAAAGTGTAAAATACGAGTCATGCAAACGAGCCCCATAGATGGGTCACCAACAGCAGGAGGGGAGGTACGGAAGATATTCCTTTTAAATATCTTCCCCTAATGACATTGATGACATTCATGTGGATTACCGTCGGATTATTCTCGAAATATTTGCTAATATTTTGACGAAGTGAAAACTGCTCTTACAACAGTGTTAGGATCCGTGCACTGCTACTAACAAATGAACAATGGGAAGACACAGACCGTTAATGGACACTTTAAGGAACAAAGTGAGAACAAATGCATACTTGTGGCAAATGATTGCCCACTACTATACTTTAAATGTGGTCTCTAACTTTAACCCCCAAACTTAAAAAAAAAAAAAAAAATGAAGTCAAATTGAATTACAAAGGTACCTTGTGAGTCGTCTACAATGTTTCCTCTCTTATTTCTTACTAATCCTTTTTTTTTTTTTTTTATTGCAGGTCTGAGGAGTTCGGAGAACGGGTGTGCACATCACAAGCGCTGGTATGAGCCTGTCGCTTGAAGTCATGAATCCATGGAACTCGAACATGTGTCTAAAGAGCCCTCAACCCGCCCGCCCCCCCCCCCCCCCCAAAAAAAAAAAAAAAGAAAAAAAAAAGAGAATTTATTGTAGTGGTGAACGCACGGATCAGAAAAGGACACTTCCTTGTTGCATAGACTAAGCAAACGGACACTCAGGTCGAGCGATGTCAGTGAGGCCAGTAACAAGTTGAAACCATGATCGGTGAGTCATATCTGTGGATTTCAAAGGTATGTAGAAACGACGCGGCGTTGATGATTGAGGCAGTAGGAGGTCAAAGAGTCGTGAGGGGAACGGCGTGCAACATCGCACGCACGCCACCGAGATTGTCTGTTGTTACGGGAACTTAGGTCACCGATGGTGACGCGTAGTCCGCTCGAGCTGGAAGTCGGGCGGTTTTCGAGCCTCACCTGTGAATCGTTCAAAGTGGACCAGAGAATCGAGCGTAAAAAAATTGCAATCTTGATGCAGAAAGGAAATCTCACGCTTTAGTAGGCGGCCATTTTAAAATGCCGATGCCCCTTGACGTAAAGGTTTAGTCAAGGTGTAAATATGGTGTACAATTATTTCCACGGGTCTGCGTGGTCTTCAGAGTATTTTTAAACACAACCACCGAAAATGATGTTGTTCCTTTTAAACAAGTAAATCTATGACAAAAGAGTTTTCTATTATAAAGTTTCTTTTAATAATGACCTTATAGGGATGCTCAAACCGTCGCGGCTCAGTGGTCTAGGGGTATGATTCTCGCTTCGGGTGCGAGAGGTCCCGGGTTCAAATCCCGGCTGAGCCCACTGACCTTTTTGTTTTTTCGAGATCTGTATTCAGAGTTGAGTTTGCTTTTTGCCGTACATTCTTTATGAAACAACCTCTTTGTAAAGTGTCGGAAAGTTACACACAATGGGCCTGACAAATGATGGACTACGCACGAAGTGGCCATGTGCATTGTGATTAATATGCGTAATTGTTTTTCAGTTTGTTCTTGCGTTCACCGTCTCAATTATTTTCTTAAAGAGGGTCAGTCATCAAACTAATCTGATATCTCCTACGAAGTCGATTTATTTTATAAAACCGAATTTGTACAACAGTATGTCTAAAGAAGGAAAACCCACGCCAGAGTTAGCCAACCCTAGCCACTATCACATTTTATTTACTTTTTTAATTTACGAGACGCTCCAAAGAGATACTCCAAAAGTGCTATAGATACGGTGCCATTATATAATTAGAAAACTCTGCTCCCGTGGAATTAGCAATTCATACGCGGTCTCATGAGTGTCTTTTTCATAAAATTGCCTCTTCCCTCAGATTAACGCTGACATATATTCCGCTCCCCCGACATCTGTTGAAACCCCGGATTACCGCTGTCTGTGCCGTTGCCCCACACGCGAACAGCAAGAGGCATGTACGCAACCGAATATCGCCCGTCGTATCCACATCCCGCGATTGTTACCGAACACCTTTACTACGTCCGGTTGCAAAATCCGGCGAATAATTTTAAGGCTCCGTCGCGGCACTTTCCAAATCAAACAAGCGAGCAATGTTACGCCATATTTTTTACGCGATTCGTCTGTTAGTGAAAATTGGTAAATATCGCGATTTCGACACCGACGGCGGAAGAGCGTTTCGACATAAAGGGACCACACCCCGCATCTTTACCCAACGAGAAGGAGCATACGGGCCAAGCCGGAAATTAAATAGTAAAAAAGAAAGCTAAAAGAAAAAGGTTATAGGGTGCCAGAAAAAGAAAAAAATGTCGATAGCAGACGACGAAAGTAACGGCATGAGTGGATTTCGTAGAGTCGGTGGTGGTGGGACATCGAGCGCCATCTTGTGGCCGGTTTCACCACTTTACGACGAAACGCCGAGGCTTGCTCAAGGATCGGCAACGCCACCTCTCGCCCTTTTTATGACGAAAAACCACTCAAGCTTGTCTTTCTGTCTGGCTCGTTTGCATTGTGCGGTCGCGGAGATCGGTGAAGAAACACGGAGGGTGTTTCGCGTTGCTCTGGAAATCATCGGCGAGCGTTTCTCATGGATTGAGTCATGGTTTCCGACAATTCGACGAGGATTCGGCTTCGTTATCGTCTCACGCGTCAAATATTCGTTTTCGGCTTTTATAATTTAAATCTGTTCCTACAGCGCAGTTTTTATTACGTCGTTGCATATCGAAGTAATGAAACGCCATTTTTCGGCCCACATAAATAAACTACGCATCGCAGAAAGCTGAAACTAATTGAGAACGTAACGCCAGCGGTGGTGACAGAATGCAGACAACTACAAACATGACGTTACCTTAATATGAATAATAAAAATAATGATGAGCCGAAATTTACTTAGGCCTAAGATTAAGAACTAAGCAATCACACTAAAGGTGCCTATAACATTTTTTTTTTAAATTAAAGGAAGACTTGTCAGCAAGGAAGAAAGAAAACAACAACGTCTTTCTTACTGAGAATTTTATTCACTAAAGTAAATGCAGCAGGCACCGAGATTGCCATTTCTTGGTTTCATGAATATTAGGCTTACAGAACTTCATAGAGAAGTTCGGTTTTTCTCACTTATTTTATTTTTTTTTTATCCAGATAACGTTATATTCTAAGAGTTTTCGATTCTCCCGGCGGTTCTGCTTTCTACGATGCGTGCGTTATTGACGCGGGCAGAGAAACTGTATTTCGTTTTCTCAAACGGACCCGGTAAATTACTAAATCAGCGTGCGCTCACAATGGGGGTGCTACAGAGGAAAAATTATAATAGCCGAGGTCACGCAAAAAATATATATATCAGACAGAAATCCGGGCCACAATGAGTGCCATAAATCATGAAGACTGAGGACATGCCAAATATGCATGACTGTAATTGGTGGGAGTACTGTCATATATCATGGTTACAGAGGAAGCACAGAAAGATTTGACAGTTACATGGGGGGCGAAAATATTTACGCTGTGTTATCATGCTGAATGACGACCAGAAATTATAATTAATTGCGGATAATTGCAATTGCAAGGAAGAAAACAGCTATTGTATTTTTAGGTGGGTTTGGATTATTAGTGAAGCATAGGGTGCCCATTTAAAATCTCATTACTTCTTGTGGTCGTAGGTAAGTGTTCACTATTAAATTTAGACAGCGCCGCCAATTCGAAAGCATTGTGCAGTTTTAATAATGTATCTAAAAGAACTACGTGGAGAAAATATGGAGCGAAATAATTGCCTTTATGCTAGAATTCCTCGTGTCTAAATGTATGTTGGCAATTGACTTAGCTTCTATGACTGATGAGGGCTGAGCTAGTGTCTTTTGGTAGAGCTAGATGTACCGGGTATCTAAAACAATTAAAATGTTTTTTTTGTTTTTTTTGCTTTTATGCTGCAAAAATAAACTATACATCGCCGAACGCGCAGCCTCTGCCCTAACATAGCGTCAGCAGTACGGACCAGGCGCCAATTAATGTTATCTGTCTAAAAATTTATCCGTTATCTGACTAAAAATTTATGAGCGATTTTCGAAAAATATACAATGAGGAAATGGCGACCGACTATGCCCAAGAACATATGCAGACGTATCAATACCGTCTATGCAGGGGCTGTTGGCGGCCAGTGAATCTTCGGAGAGTAAAATGTATTCCCTAGTGAAGTATTTACAGAACCCGTGAAAATTTTCCATGAAAGCATTCTCCTCACACACTCCACTCCTGAATAAAATGAAGCTTGTCTCGATTATTCTCATAAACCGGGTTTAGCACACTCGTGTGTGCAAAGCCTCCAAAACCACCCTAAGCTCCCCGACGTCCCCGTAACCCAGCATAACCGAACGTAACGTACGCGTGATGCAGCCACTATACATTCTGTGCTCTCCGGGTTTATCAGAATGATCTATGCAAGTTAATTATTAAACTGCCCCCGAACGTATGACATCACGCCACTGGACAGTGCGGAAAATTTGAATGTTGGTTCTGACATAACCTTCATTGCCTTCATCGTCTTTATTGCCAAAACGTCTAGAAAGCTGTATTCGCTGCGAAAGGACTATGACACACTGCACTCCTGAAACGAAGATAACGGCGAATAACTCTCCAATCCGTCATTTACCAGAATATTCTGACATATCGTGGGACCCTCATTCACAATCTTATACATAGACCAGTTGGAAGGGGTTAAAACACATTAGGTTATCACCGTTGTAGGCTGTGTCCCCACTTGTGTCATCCCAATCCGGCCGAAGCCTCAATTCGGCTATTGCCTCTATTCGGCTAGAAGTTTTGATTCGGCTGCACGCTTCAGTTCGGCGAAATCTTCAGTTCAGCTACAAGTTTCAATTCTGCGGCATGCTTCAGTTTGGCTAGATCCTCGTTTCAATTGGGCTGGACGTACCAAGTTGGACATCCAAGCATAAGGTGCACCCAATTTTGTAAAGACACGTTAACCATGCCATACATTAACCATACGCTAACCGTGGTTGACGACCAACAGACCGCAGATGGGCGATGTCGCCGATGCATGCCGGCGTCACTGAGCACTCGCGAGAGGAATCTGGACAAGAGAGTAGCTCAAAATGACGACATTAGCAAACGACTCATGAACGTCTTGGGCAGAATAGAATGCATTGAAAAAACATTGGGGCTGGTAAAGGTGATACTATAATGGCGAAGTTAGATCACCACGGGAAAACAGTCGACGCAATAGACACCGCCATGATTAACCTATGATGAAGTTCATCAAAGTATGATGAACTGCGAATATTAGACACACAGAGCGCAACAATAACAGAACTAACAAAGAGGACGGGTGAAATAGAAGCAAGGGTGGCGGAACAGGATGTTCAAATTCAAGACCTGAAAACAGCAGTAGATAACGCAGAACAGTACTCACGGCGGAAAAACGTAGAGATCCATGAAATCGTGCAGCAACCCAACGAGAATGTATTAGACGTTCTAAAGAACCTAGCTGCCAAATTCGACCTTCCGCAACCAGGCGCAGAGGACATTGAGGCTGACCACCGACTCAGGGCGAGAGAAGGGAAAATAGCACGGGGTCTTATCAGGTTTGCGGAAAGAAAAACGAGGGACCTGTGGATGACGAAGCGAGTGACACTAAGAAATGAAAATATTTACATTAACGTGATTTTAACCAAAACACTGAAAGGTCTACTTTGGCAAACTAGGGAATGTGCAAGAGCAAAGGCGTACAAGTTTGTTTGGATGAGAAGCGGCAAGAGTTTTGTACGGCAGAAAGAAGGCGCTGGGTGCCATCGGTATCGAAAGTGAAAGAGATTTGACTAAATCTAACGTAGCAATGGAGAGCACTTTCCACACGATACGCGAATGGGACCTTTATAGGGCGCGTGTGCAGACGGAAAGTAGCTGCAGTAATGTAGAGCTTAGCCTTCTGCATGTAAATGTCCGAAGCTTGCGCAGGCATTGGGAAAAAGTTTTAGTGAAATTATCTGGAAGCCTGGCATTGCTGGATGTATCAATACTGAGCGAAATTAGCGTGGACGAAAAAGCGTGCTCGGAATTTACGCTAGC